AACACAGAACGTCAAAGAACACAGAGCGTCAAAGAACACAGGCGTCAAAGAACACAGAACGTCAAAGAACACAGAACGTCAAAGAACACTGAGCGTCAAAGAACACAGAGCGTCAAAGAACACAGAACGTCAAAGAACACAGGCGTCAAAGAACACAGAGCGTCAAAGAACACAGAGCGTCAAAGAACACAGAGCGTCAAAGAACACAGAGCGTCAAAGAACACAGAGCGTCAAAGAACACAGAGCGTCAAAGAACACAGAACGTCAAAGAACACAGAGCGTCAAAGAACACAGAACGTCAAAGAACACAGGCGTCAAAGAACACAGGCTTCAAAGAACACAGAGCGTCAAAGAACACAGGCGTCAAAGAACACAGAGCGTCAAGGAACACAGAGCGTCAAAGAACACAGAACGTCAAAGAACACAGGCGTCAAAGAACACAGGCGTCAAAGAACACAGAGCGTCAAAGAACACAGGCGTCAAAGAACACAGCGTCAAAGAACACAGGCGTCAAAGAACACAGAGCGTCAAAGAACACAGAGCGTCAAAGAACACAGAGCGTCAAAGAACACAGGCGTCAAAGACCGGACCATTTAAGAACATATCACTCGAATGAATATCCTGCTGAAGTCTTGGAAAGTGTTAAAGTTCAAGTCAGTGACATCTCATGATTAATTAAACCCGAATCAATCGCCGATTGATACGATAACATTTATAGATCCCTAATGTTGAAAACTTAACATTTACAACTATAAATAAATATAAATAATTGTTTATATAAATAAATATAAATGTTCCAAACTTTTAGGACCCCTAACACCCAGCCCTCAAGCGCTTATAACATTTAAAAGCTTAAGTTTAAGAACTTAAGTTTAAGAGCCTAACGCTTAAAGAACATTACCCTCAAGGTCCCAGACGCCCCAGGCAATAGTTTAGTCAACTTACGACCAAGTTACGCTAATCTATGACACAGGATAAAGCCAGACCAAACCCAGCAGCGTCGCGGCCACAAGCGGCTCCTGAGGGAAAATAAGCGTCTCTGGTCAAAACCTCTTATGATAGAAAACGCCGGGGTGGAGGGGATGGAAGGGGCTGCTCTAAGGATAGGAGAGAAAGGGTGATTAGTCGTTAACATCGTCTCAGGCAAGTCCTTATTCTGAATATGGATCGTATGGTGCCTCAAAGATATCTTTAAGTGGTATATATATATATATATATATATATATATATATATATATATATATATATATATATATATATATATATATATATATATATATATGGGAGGCACAGCCTCCCAAATTGCTCTACCAGCCTTCCTTTCCTCCTCTCATGCATCGCACGACCTCGTCAGAGATATTTTACCTGCAACCCTGAGAGATTCAGCAGGAATACACGATCCTGCTTTCACTGAATGTTCAAATCAGTGGAATGTTCTTGCAGCCCCAGCAACCATTATAGAGCCAACAAAACAACACAAACAGTCCGGCTGGGACCACCCTCTAGTGGAAAAAGTAGCTGATGCCATGCTAAGCGTCGCAACATCAGACAAGGAGAAAGCCCGCCTCAGAGCAGTGCGTGCCCCCCATGCAGGCGACTTCCTCCTGGCAGTACCCATGTCTGCAATGGGCACGCGCCTAGATCCAGAATCCCTTCGTGTAGCAGTGGCCCTCCGCCTTGGTGCCCCAATTCACACTGAATACAAGTGTATTTGCAACAGGGTGGAAGCAGACCAATACGGACTGCATGGGTTGCATTGCGGAAGCACAAAGGGCTGGCATGCAAGACACAACGAGGTCAATGACATCATCAAGAGAAGCCTCGTCTCAGCTGGGTGCCCAGCGGAGAGAGAACCTCGCATCCTAGGGGTCCAAAACCCGGATTTCCCAGCACTTCGCCCTGATGGCATCACCATATACTCATGGAAGGAGGGTAGACAGTTGGTGTGGGACTACACATGTGTATCCACCCTGGCTGACACCTATGTACACTTGGGAGCTGATCAAGCAGGTGGGGCGGCCAACCACAGGGAAACAGCAAAATCACTCAAGTACAGGCGACTGGAAGGTCAATACCTCTTTGTTCCCATAGCGTCTGAGACGCATGGCCCCTGGGGCAAGAGTGCCTTGGGATTTCTCAAGGAATTGGGGTCCAAGCTCATTGACGTCACCAGAGACCCAAGGGCTTCCAGTTTTTTATTTCAGCGTCTCAGTGTGGCGATCCAGAGGGGAAATGCTTGCTGCGTCCTCGGTTCCTGTCCAGAAGCGGAGGAGCTTCAAGAGATCCATAACCTTTAGGCATTTGTCTTGTATGTTTTGTAACCTTTAAATACACAATAAAGGGGAAAAAAAAAGGGAAGGGGGTGGTAGGAGAAAAGCACACAGAAACTGTATTGGAGGGGACCCACATTCCCACCAATGCGTTATGTGTGGTTTCCTCCGAGGCTATGGGTCCCCCTTCTTCCAGCCAGAGGTGGTACTCCCTTCCCTATTTAAAAAAAAAATATATATATATATATATATATATATATATATATATATATATATATATATATATATATATATATGTCGTACCTAGTAGCCAGAACGCACTTTTTGGCCTACTATGCAAGGCCTGATTTGCCTAATAAGCCAAGTTTTCCTGAATTAATGTATTTTCTCTAATTTTTTTCTTCTGAAATGATAAAGCTACCCATTTCAATATGTATGAGGTCAATTTTTTTTTATTGGAGTTAAAATTAACGTAGATATATGACCGAACCTAACCAACCCTACCTAACCTAACCTAACCTATCTTTATAGGTTAGGTTTGGTTAGGTACCCGAAAAAGTTAGGTTAGGTTAGGTTAGGTAGGTTAGGTAGTCGAAAAACAATTAATTCATGAAAACTTGGCTTATTAGGCAAATCGGGCCTTGCATAGTAGGCTGAGAAGTGCATTCTGGCTACTAGGTACGACATATATATATATATATATATATATATATATATATATATATATATATATATATATATATATATATATATATATATATATATATATATAAGGCACAACTCTCCTAAACACGAGAGTGAAGTATACAACTTTAGAACACTTTCCCACCAGGAGACTCGAACCCTAGCCAGCACAGAAGCCTTTCAGCAACTGGCATAACAGGTACGCCTTAACCCAATCGACCACCTGCTCAGACCCTTAAAAGAGATGGTAATGGATGGAAAGTGTATAAATACTCCGAAATTACCATCTCTTTTAAGGGTCTGAGCAGGTGGTCGAGTGGGTTAAGGCGTACCTGTTATGCCAGTTGCTGAAAGGCTTCTGTGCTGGCTAGGGTTCGAGTCTCCTGGTGGGAAAGTGTTCTAAAGTTATATATATATATATATATATATATATATATATATATATATATATATATATATATATATATATATTATATATATATATATATATATATATATATATATTTATATATATATATATATATATATATATATATATATATATATATATATGTGAACGTCTGAACCGTCTCCAGGCATATATGCCACTGAAAACTCACACCCCAGAAGTGACTCGAACCCATACTGCCAGGAGCACTCTGCAATCTGGCGTACAGGACACCTTAACACACTCGACCAACAGATTGCAGAGTGCTCCTGGCAGTATGGGTTCGAGTCACTTCTGGGGTGAGTTTTCAGTGACGTATTGTATTTGTAAAAAGTATTTGTAAAATGGACCATGACAGTAGTAGTGGGCATCCATCAGTCTCACGAGACTATGGAGTTGCGCTCTGGTTGTCGGTCTGGAGTAACCTAGCTCTCCAGGGCGCAAAGCCAGGGTAGGTTGATACGGAAAAGCTGTTACCCATGCAGCAGGTCCCCCTCTCTACGGCGCCGAAAGTCTCCAATGGAAATGCAAACTACCAATACGATTGGTTCACTGTAAAAACAACACAAAATCGGCTAATATTTGTTATGGGAGCCGGTCGGCCGAGCGGACAGCACACTGGACTTGTGATCCTGTGGTCCCGGGTTCGATCCCGGGCGCCGGCGAGAAACAATGGGCAGAGTTTCTTTCACCCTATGCTCCTGTTACCTAGCAGTAAAATAGGTACCTGGGTGTTAGCCAGCTGTCACGGGCTGCTTCCTGGGGGTGGAGGCCTGGTCGCGGACCTGGCCGCGGGGACTCTAAAAAAAAAAAAAAAGCCCCGAAATCATCTCAAGATAACCTCAAGATCTCAAGATAACTCGGCCTATGGAGCGTCACAGTAAAATAAGACAACAAAACCCAACCTCCCAATATTCGTTCACCGTCACACCGTCACTATGGACCGTCACTATGGACCGTCACAGTAAAACAACAATGTAATAACAAATCTAATTTAAACTTTTAAAGTGAAATTTAGGCTCATAACATTCCCACTTTCAGAGAAATCATGTTAGAGCTACATTTTGCTCCCGAAATTGACGACCTGAAAAGTTCTGAATGACTAAACTTAGCCCCATATGGAACGTAAAGTTCGGAGGTAGCTAGGCAGATCTTTCAAAATTTTGTGAATGTGTTGCAGTAAAGAAATCCCAGTAAAGAAATCTAGCCAGTAAAGAGATCCCAGTATAGAAGTCCAGCCAGTAATCTCTAGTGCTGGAGTCCCGCTCTGTACACGTCCCGCGGGGTCCCAGTGTACACGCCCCCGCGAGGTCCCAGTGTACACGCCCCCGCGAGGTCCCAGTGTACACGCCCCGCGAGGTCCCAGTGTACACGTCCCGCGAGGTCCCAGTGTACACGTCCCGCGAGGTCCCAGTGTACACGCCCCCGCGAGGTCCCAGTGTACACGCCCCCGCGAGGTCCCAGTGTACACCCTCTCCCCACACTCGCCAGCGACTAACCCCCCCCCCCTCCCCAACGACCCCCACATGAACTTCTCCCACCTTTCCCCTCTCGCCAATAACAACTTGAACACGTGCCCTCGCTCCCCGAGTAATTAATTTGCGTCCTTGTTTCTCCAGCCTGGGCTACGCGGTGCTGGTGGGCGTGGCCCTCTCGCGGGCGGGACGGCTGAGGGCGCCCTGCCTCCTGCTGCTCCTCGTCGCCGCCTCCTGCAGGACGCTACAGAGGAACCGGGACTGGGAATCCAGGGAGACGCTCTTCTTGTAAGTCTTGCTAGTGATTGGGAAGGATTTAGGATTATTCCTGAAGGGATTGTGGCAGGTTAGGTGGGAAGCCCAAGCACTTCACCTAATCTATCGAGGCCCATGCATCGAAAACGTTAATATCACGATGGTTTCATTGTTACTGACACGTCGCATTTTCCACGGAATGGTGGATTCCGTACAAAAATCGACCCATTGGGAAGACAGGATGTGTAATAGCAAGTTTTAATAGCAGTAATATCACTAGTTATTACCAATTAACGCTAGTTACGCAGTATTCAGGATCATCCCTCACACCAACTCACCTAGTTGTGCTTGAGGGGGTTGAGCTCTGGCTCTTTGGTCCCGCCTCTCAACTGTCAATCAATTAAAGTACAGATTCTTGAGCCTACTGGGCTCTTTCATATCTACATTTCAAAATGTGTATGGAGTCTGCCTCCAACATTTATTAACTATTCTGACGCTAAAAAAAGTTCTTTCTAATGTCTCTATGGCACATTTGGGTACTGTAAGCATATACGTCCATCTTGAAATATATACGTCCGCATATATCCTTGATCGTCGGCCGTCTTAAACGGGTGAATATATCATAGAGGTATGAATGAATATGGTATATAATATGGTATCTATGAATATATCATAGACTGGACATAGCTATCTCTGGCAAGACATGTTCTTGAATACACTCTTGAGAGATGGCAAGAGCGGTGACAGACAAGCTAACTATTGTGGGATGCATGTGGTTTGTAATGATGACACTAACGACCTGCTTGGCTACAACTCTGACTGTGAATGGTTGACTTGTTAATGACTGACAGTAGTTAACTACAATTGTTTTGTTAGTAGTGACTGCATATGGTGTGGGTACCTGATAATAAGGGAAGCTCCTGGTTAACTATATAATCAGAACTGACCTTCTGAGCTCACCATCAGAGCTTAACAATCACTGCACAGAGCCTATAGTCTCTTGAATTTAAGTTGGAGACTTAGAAATGGATTCCAAAGTCATGATTTCACTGATCACACATTTACTATAACCTTTCTATACACAGTCATATATTTTATATCAATTTTATATAATTAGATTTCGATCTTATTTGTTATTTAAATAATTACTGTAATGTATAATATTATGTATTTTCATATAGCTGGCTTGCCTCTCCCTCTCTCTAACTTCTCTTCCCCTATAGCCTCCCTGTTCTGTTCTGTTCTTTTCTCCCGCTTCCCTCTCTTTCTCTCTCTCTCTCTCTCTCTCTCTCTCTCTCTCTCTCTCTCTCTCTCTCTCTCTCTCTCTCTCTCTCTCTCTCTCTCTCTCTCTCTCTCTCTCTCTCTCTCGTGTCTGTACAGTACTTGATTCTCACCTCATAATCACAGTGTTCTCACCTGGTCCTGGTCTTCCCATATGGTTGTAATGCGTGTGTCACTCTCTGACGGCTCAGGGCGGGCCTGAGGACGCTGCCCCACAACGCCAAGATGCACTACAACTTCGCCAACCTGCAGAAGGACCTGGGTAACGCCGACCTCGCCAAGCTCCACTACATATACGCCATCAGGTGAGTCTTCGCCTCGACTGGCTACATATATACCTTGACAAATGCGCTAACATACTCAAAGATATCTTAATGCTGCGGATACTGTGTGTCACACCCAAGACTGGATGCAGTCTTAGCACATTGACTGAGATAAAGGTTCTTCAAGTGGCCCCTCACCACTCATCATGTCTACCACACAAATCAATATAACGAGAGGACACTGCAACGTCTGAGGTGAATCACCAATCACATCAACAGTTTAGCAACGTCGTGCAACAGGCGGCCACATACGATATCCACCCCCAATTTGCGTTTTTTTTTGTGTGTGTGTTTAGTTCACTTATTATGCACCCCATACCCATCCTGTGAGCAGTAGTAGAAAAGGTTATAGAGACATAATGGGCTCAGGAACTGAGCCCTCAAATTCATGTAACTATTTACATATTTAAAGTATATATCAACAGTCTCTTATAACACAACCATACGGCCACAAAGGCCTATTTCAGAACTAATAAAAACAATGTTTTCTTAAATATAAGTTATATTATAAACAAGTTTTGTGTATAGTTAACCCTGGGGTTCATTAGGGGAGGTGTTTGCCTGCTGAACGTGGTCGGATATATGACATTTAAACCAACTGGAACACTCCCTAGTGCCTCACACCAGCTACACCTGCCTCACACCAGCTACACCTGCCCCACACCAGCTACACCTGCCCCACACCAGCTACACCTGCCCCACACCAGCTACACCTGCCCCACACCAGCTACACCTGCCCCACACCAGCTACACCTGCCCTACACCAGTAACACCTGCCCCACACCAGGTACACCTGCCCCACACCAGCTACACCTGCCCCACACCAGTAACACCTGCCCTACACCAGTAACACCTGCCCCACACCAGGTACACCTGCTTCACACCAGCTACACCTGCCCCACACCAGCTACACCTGCTCCAAACCAGCTACACCTGCCCCACACCAGCTACACCTGCCCCACACCAGGTACACCTGCTCCACACCAGGTACACCTGCCCCACACCAGCTACACCTGCCCCACACCAACTACACCTGCCCCACACCAGCTACACCTGCCCCACACCAGCTACACCTGCTCCAAACCAGGTACACCTGCCCCACATCAGCTACACCTGCCCCACACCAGGTACACCTGCCCCAAACCAGGTACACCTGCCCCACATCAGCTACACCTGCCCCACACCAGCTACACCTGCCCCACACCAGCTACACCTGCCCCACATCAGCTACACCTGCTCCAAACCAGATACACCTGCCCCACATCAGCTACACCTGCACCACACCAGGTACACCTGCCTCACACCAGGTACACCTGCCCCACACCAGGTACACGCCCCACACCAGCTACACCAGCCCCACACCAGCTACACCTGCCTCACACCAGGTACACCTGCCCCCCACCACACGCAGTCCCGCTCTTGTGCCAGGTGCGTCCACCACGGGCTCACCATAGCCCGTGCTACTTGGAACGTTTTGTTCCGAGTAGCTGAATCTAAAAACAACAGCAGCAACATACACCTGCGTCAGGCAACAACACGTGTACACTGAGCCCAGAACCTGGTTGCCCAAACAACACAACTGACAACACCACTCATTCTCTCGTCATGTGAAAACGAGGTAAAACCTTCTACACTGGCAATGATGATGCTAGTAGATCCCTGATACTATCCCAGCACTGATTCCTAGTAGACAGATCCTTCATACCGCCCGGCCTCAATAGCCATCACAGGATCTCATTCACATGGCTCACAGTCTCAAACTACTCATTCTGCTCGTAACGTGACCCCCCCCCCCCCCCGAGGCCAATGTTATTCCCTTAACATAACTGATCGGCCCCGCTACACTGCGGATCCCTTCTCCAATCTGCTTGGTGTTCGGCTTGTGGTGTGTCAGCCTCTGGAGGGTTACTGAGGTCACCACACTGACTTACTCACCAACCAACAAGTACACTTTACTCCTGGACTATGTTCACGGATAAAGTAAACTCAGTCTATATACACCGAGAAATAAGGTACACCTCTCAGTGTTATAACATCCTGATCTAATCTGTGGCTTAATAGACCAGACAAAAATACATTCACTTGAACTGCAGACCCCAGGATCTCGGGCGCCAAGATCTGGACATATCCCCCTCTATCTACTTCTGCAGGACTATGTAGACCTATCTATCCAGTAAGTTTCCCTCACCCCCCCTATCCTCCTACCCCCCTATCCCCTCACCCCCCCCCCCTGTGAGACCATCGAGCTAACCAGCCCTCTGGACCTCCCACTTTGCTGCTGTGATTCTCTTCAGTGATGGTTCCCACTTCCCTCCAATGGAGCAGTTTGCCCTCTTCGACTCCTCTGGCCGGACCCTCGCTCCCCAACACACTTAAGTGAACATTTACACCGGGATGCACACTCCCCTCCCCCCCCCTCCCCACACCCCACTATATTATATGTCGCTGGTGCATTCTAATATAACTTATATCATGTGGAATACGAAAGTCTTCCGTACCTCTTAGGAACCCTTTACACAACGTTTAACGGGAGTCCCTCACATTCTCACCTGTAACAGAGCACACTTGATTGACAGTTGAGAGGCGGGACCAAAGAGCCAGAGCTCAACCCCCGCAAGCACAAATAGGTGAGTACACTTCTCCCTTCTACACCCACAGCCTGGGTCAGGTGGAGCGTTTATGTGTTAGTTCAGTGGCGGCCTTATTACCCCTAAACTATCCTACGTTTTTCATACTAATGTTCACAAATACAATACTAATACAACCGGCGGTGTCCGGGATAGTCCGTCTCTCCTCCCGTCCCATCCTCCTAATCCCCGTCCCATCCCCCTAATCCCCGTCCCATCCCCAATCTTTATTCTGAACCCTTACAAAGGATCTATAGTCGTAATGACTTGGCGCTTTCTCCAGATAGTTTCCTTACCTTCTTTCCCCACACTCCCATACCTCCCCTCTCCCCACATCACCCCTCTTCCCTTCCCCTCTTCCCTTCCCCTCTTACCTTCCCCTCTTCTCCTCCCTTTCCGTCGCAATCGCGATCTATCAAATACTCCTGAGTGTAAACAGAGTGGACAAGGCTACCAGAGTGTGCGTACTGGGAGAACCCCAGAGTGTGTGTACTGGGAGGCCCCAGAGTGTGTGTACTGGGAAGCCCCAGAGTGTGTGTACTGGGAGGCCCCAGAGTGTGTGTACTGGGAGGCCCCAGAGTGTGTGTACTGGGAGGCCCCAGAGTGTGTGTACTGGGAGGACCCAGAGTGTGTGTACTGGGAGGCCCCAGAGTGTGTGTACTGGGAGGACCCAAAGAGTGTGTACTGGTAGGACCCAGAGTGTGTGTACTGGGAGGCCCCAGAGCGTGTGTACTGGTAGGACCCAGAGTGTGTGTACTGGGAGGCCCCAGAGTGTGTGTACTGGGAGGCCCCAGAGTGTGTGTACTGGGAGGCCCCAGAGTGTGTGTACTGGGAGGCCCCAGAGTGTGTGTACTGGGAGGCCCCAGAGTGTGTGTACTGGTAGGACCCAGAGTGTGTGTACTGGGAGGCCCCAGAGTGTGTGTACTGGGAGGCCCCAGAGCGTGTGTACTGGTAGGACCCAGAGTGTGTGTACTGGGAGGCCCCAGAGTGTGTGTACTGGGAGGCCCCAGAGTGTGTGTACTGGGAGGCCCTAGAGTGTGTGTACTGGGAGGCCCCAGAGTGTGTGTACTGGGAGGTCCAAGAGTGTGTGTACTGGGAGGCCCCAGAGTGTGTGTACTGGGAGGCCCCAGAGTGTGTGTATTGGGAGGCCCCAGAGTGTGTGTACTGGGAGGCCCCAGAGTGTGTGTACTGGGAGGCCCCAGAGTGAGTGTACTGGGAAGCCCTAGAGTGTGTGTACTGGGAGGCCCCAGAGTGTGTGTACTGGGAGGCCCCAGAGTGTATGTACTGGGAGGCCCCAGAGTGTGTGTACTGGTAGGACCCAGAGTGTGTGTACTGGGAGGCCCCAGAGTGTGTGTACTGGGAGGCCCCAGAGCGTGTGTACTGGTAGGACCCAGAGTGTGTGTACTGGGAGGCCCCAGAGTGTGTGTACTGGGAGGCCCCAGAGTGTGTGTACTGGGAGGCCCTAGAGTGTGTGTACTGGGAGGCCCCAGAGTGTGTGTACTGGGAGGTCCAAGAGTGTGTGTACTGGGAGGCCCCAGAGTGTGTGTACTGGGAGGCCCCAGAGTGTGTGTATTGGGAGGCCCCAGAGTGTGTGTACTGGGAGGCCCCAGAGTGTGTGTACTGGGAGGCCCCAGAGTGTGTGTATTGGGAGGCCCCAGAGTGTGTGTACTGGGAGGCCCCAGAGTGTGTGCACTGGGAGGTCCCAGAGTGTGTGTACTGGGAGATCCAAGAGTGTGTGTACTGGGAGGGCCCCAGAGTGTGTGTACTGGGAGGGCCCCAGAGTGTGTGTATTGGGAGGCCCCAGAGTGTGTGTATTGGGAGGCCCCAGAGTGTGTGTACTGGAAGGCCCAAGAGTGTGTGTATTGGGAGGCCCCAGAGTGTGTGTATTGGGAGGCCCCAGAGTGTGTGTACTGGGAGGTCCCAGAGTGTGTGTACTGGGAGGTCCAAGAGTGTGTGTACTGGGAGGGCCCCAGAGTGTGTGTACTGGGAGGGCCCCAGAGTGTGTGTACTGGGAGGCCCCAGAGTGTGTGTACTGGGTGGCCCCAGAGTGTGTGTACTGGGAGATCCAAGAGTGTGTGTACTGGGAGGGCCCCAGAGTGTGTGTACTGGGAGGGCCCCAGAGTGTGTGTACTGGGAGGGCCCCAGAGTGTGTGTACTGGGAGGCCCCAGAGTGTGTGTACTGGGTGGCCCCAGAGTGTGTGTACTGGGAGGCCCCAGAGTGTGTGTACTGGGAGGCCCCAGAGTGTGTGTACTGGGAGGCCCCAGAGTGTGTGTGTACTGGGAGGTCCCAGAGTGTGTGTACTGGGAGGCCCCAGAGTGTGTGTACTGGGAGGCCCCAGAGTGGACAAGCTACCAGAGTGTGTGTACTGGGAGGTCCAAGAGTGGACAAGCTACCAGAGTGTGTGTACTGGGAGGACCCTCCTCCCGATATCAAAAACTATGTATATTATGTATCAACAATGTAATGTAAGTCAACCAAAGATTAGAGTCGGGGCCCAAGAACTGAAGCATAAACACTGTAAGGTGTAAAGCCAAAGGAGCTAACAAAATTTTTATCTATTTTCTGAATCTAACTTACCCAATTTGTATCTATTGTTTCATATTAGCATATTTCACACCTTGCAGGTATA